AGCTCCAGATATAAATAATTGTGGGATGCAATAATGTCCTTGGAATGTATTCTGCTTGTGAGAAATAAAAGGGAGAATCTGCAAACTAGATAACAAATCCACTGAATATTGTGTCCTGTTCCCTGAAGTGGCTAGTCCAGAGGCACAAGCAAACATGAAAGCAATGTCTCCATCCAGCAGTTGCCAGAGCACTTGTGTTCGGTGACATGCTGCCACTGAGCATGAGTTTGCTATAGATCAGTGTGTTGTCCCTGTTTCCTCATCCTCTTAGCAAGAATAGAAGGCTGATCTAGGAAAATCACTGCCCCCCCCCCAATGGCTATTATTGTGATTGTGACCTAATGGGTGTCAATGTCCACGACTAATACAGAGCTAAAACAGTAAATAACTTTGGGTTGTATGCAAAATTGCAAAGGCCAATATGCATTCCCAGTACAAAGAAAATAAATAAAAACATATGCCTGAAAACAAAATGAATTGAAATCTACAACTCACTTTACCTTATTTTCAATAGTTCTGTCCATTTTTTAAATGTGTATAACTTGTATTATACCTTTTTTCAACATGCCTTTTTTTCCCGTTTACTCTCAGTTGCTACAGACGACCATGTACTGTTCGAAAGAAACGCTGCGATTCTGGATTCTATTATAGTGAAGAAGTTTGTCGCTGTGTACCCACATACTGGAAACTACCACTTATCAATTAGAAAAGACAATGTCATTTGATGTACATTTTTTCCTGTTTCTACTTTTAAAAAAACTGCTAACGTGTGGATTTACAATGCAGAAGAGACGTTATAACATTATTGGAAACAGACACATTTTTACTCTGAGACACATGGGAAGTAATTTTTTTAAAAAAACTGGGATTTTCTTCATTATGAAGATCATAATTTGTCAGTGATGAAGCAGACTAAATTTTCTTCATTGTGATTTTTTTTAAAAAAAGATAATGATTACATAATTTATTTTCTTTTAAAGATAATGTATGCAATCCTTTTTTTATACCGGAAACAATTTTTAAATTTCACTGTGATCAATATTTTTATATCTTGCAAAACATGTTTTAAATAAAATTGAAGTGTATTATATATTGTTTGAGAAAATGCAGCATTCTGTCTTGTTACCATGTTTAAATGTAATTGATATAAGAATAACAGAGTTGGAAGGAATCTTGGAGGTCTTTTAGTTCAGCCCCTGCTCAGTCAGATATCATGTACCATTTCAGACAAGTGGTTAAAAACTTCCAGTGATGGAAAACCCACAACTTCTGGAGTCAAACCATTCCATTGGTTAATTGTTCTGTCAAGAAAGTTGTCCTTAGTTCTAGGTTGGTTATGCCCTTGATTAGTTTCCATGCATTGTTTTTTGTTCTGCCTTCAGGTGCTTTGGAAAATAGGTTGATCCTTCCCCCTACTTTGAGGCAGCCCCTCAAATATTCTGAGACTGGTATATCACTCCTAGTCCTTCTTTTCATTAAACTAGGCCAGGGCTGTCAAACTCAATTTCATTGAGGGACACACCAAGGCTGTGGTTGACCTCAGAAGGCCAGCTGACCAACTGGGTGGGTGTGGCCAACTGGGTGGATGTGGCCAACTTGACACCCCTCCCCAAACTGCTGACATGTTTCCTCTTCGCACTAGATAGACTGGGCCAAAGCCACAATGGCCCGATGTTTCCCTCTTCGCATTGGGTAGACCAGGCTGAAACGATGCGGGTAGACTGGAGCAAAGTGACGCAGGCCGGCCCATTACATTTTCCAGGACAACCCCGCGGGCCTTGTGTTTCACACCCCTGAACTAGACATATCCATTACCTACAACTGTTCTTCATATGTTTTAGCCTCCAAAACCTTCATCGATTTTGTTGCTCTTCCCTGCACTCTTTCTAGAGTCTCAAAAAAAAAATCTTTTTTATATTGTGGCAACCAAAACTATAAGTGAATATGTAGCACTATGTTCTTCTCTAAGATTCCTGTTTAGATTTCCTATGCAGTAAAGTGAGTGATAACTAAAATAAGAAAAATGGTGGCACAAGTCTGCATTTCTGATACATTACCAATATGACTGAAATCAGACAGAGAAAGAACGTTGCCTACTCAGGGAACTCTCCAGGTGCGCAGCAACAATTTGTGCTAAAAATTGTCTACCAATCAGATTGCACATGATTGTTATTACTAGTTAAATGAAAATAGGTTCCCACTCATAAATAGATAAATTTGGCTTGCCTTGAATTTTAGGAATGCTCTCAATGGCTGTTTCATGATCGTGTGGAGTGGAGAGATGTCCTTCACTTCAGTGTTCAGTGAACTAGATTTTTCCCTTGGTTTTTTTTTCCTAATCTGCACAACTGAACAGCTAGGACCCTGTAACAAATGTTACCTTAGACAAAGAGGAGAAAATATAAATGTATTTTAATAGCAGTCAAGAAGATTAGAAGCCACTTCTTTACAATATTTATTTTTTCCTTTTCTTTCTTTTCCTTTTATTTTGCCTATTCTATTTTCTTTTTCTTTATTTCTTTTTATTTTTTTACAGGGCTTTTATTACATTAAAGAATTCTTTAATAAAAATTTTATACAAAAAGCAAAAAAAGAAGCCTGTGACAGGGGTGCATTTTTCCTAAATTCTGGCAACAGAGTACTTCAATAATTAGTTACATAACCTTTTTTCAATTATAATTTCTAAATCTTTTGCACTATAGTTTAGTCTTCTGTTCAATATCAGTTTTGTACACCAGTCGTTGGAATATAAAGATAATCTTTCAATTACCATTTCCACATAACTGAATAATGTATGTATGAATTTTTGCAGCAGCTAGTACCATGAACAAGAACTTCTCAATCTACTTGCACCCCTCATAAAACATCTGACATTCTAAGGTTTTGGCCTTAATTTTACACAATTTGTATACTTTTGCTTCTGGTGCAGCTGTTGCTGTAATGTTTGAAATTTAATTGTAGAAGACATGACTTAAGTCTCAATCCATACCAGTTATTGAATTTTAAAAAGATACTGCCCATATTTGAATTATTTTATGCAGTATATATATTAAATACCTATATTAACATTATCATGAAGTTTTAAAACTGTCCTTAAAAATATACCAATAATACAGATTCTATGAACAATTCATATCATTTTCTCTGAATCATGCTATTTCTATTGACTTCAATTTAACTAAGTATCTGCCAAATGTTATGTAAATACCTGATCTTCACTTATCAATGAAAATAACTAAGAGTAAGTTTAGATTTATATTTTGTCATTATTCTTCAAGATTTGGGGATGTCAATGTAGAAATATAGATGCAATGAAACTTATCCTGTTTTAACAAAAGAAAATGAATTTTCTTTTAGTATTTTAATTTTAGTTTATTGCACATTGGGAAAACTAATGTTAAAGATCATGACCTTGAATTTGCTGATGCATTTATAAATACAGCATTTTTTTTCTTTAATCTTTCCGAAGCATTTTACAAATCAACAGTGTGCCATCATAACAAATGTGATGCAGTCTCAATTTGTAATATGGCATGCAACTCCAACACTTCTTAACTACATACTTAGCCTATTCTGTGTACGCTTTCTATCTTTTCTCTCTTTTTTGTTTTCTGTGCACCCAAGAATACAGATGTCTTGTGCATTAACCACTACTTTAAAGGTGGAAAAGAGGCTTGTGGGGGGGGGGTGTCCTAAATGTGGCAGTTATAACAAGAAACAATATTAGAAAACATACCGAAGAAAGACTCTGAGAACATAGCAGTGTAAATATACTTGTACTTTAAAGAAGAAACAAAAAAATAAGTGTGAAACACAGAACTAGATATATTTGTGGCAAATATACTTAAAAATATAAGGTGCCACCACAGCACCCAAACCTTGCTAATTGAGGAGAAACCATAATTTCCTGAGAGATATTTTAATGATGAACAGTTCTTATCAATGGAAATATTTAAGATTTAATTCAAATCCCATTTTGTTTTAGTCATACAAAAAACAAATTTAGTCTATCTTCTGTTTTTGATGTACGCTACAGTATTTGAAGCTTGCTCTTGTGGGTCTTGTTAATTTCTTTATTAAGCAAAGTCATCTCACTGCTAATGATTTAATCATGATAATTTTGTTTGGTTTGTAAGATTTTGGCCAATTCATTGTAATTTTGGATGTTAGTTATCTCTATCTAACGCCTCCCCCTGACCCCCGTCTAAAAGCTGCAAGTCCCTGATTGGATGGTGTACAATTAAATCTCATATCCATTAATGTATGTTTAGCTCACCGATAGCTTGCCTTATATGAAGTCATACACCAATTTTCAGCTTATCAACCAAAATCAAATGGAGCAGACTAGACAAAAGTAATTTGGTTGTATAATCTCACTTCTTTCTTCTCAGTTTTTATATGACATAAAGCAGTAATCATTTAATAAAACATGTAGGTTAAGGAAACAACCAAGGCCCAATATTCTGTTTTCATTTGAGGTTATGCACAACATTCAACCCATATTTTAATTATGAGAAAGCCAAAGCTGTAATTATGCCACATGGAAGAATTCATTTCATGAAAACTGCTCTAATCACAAAAGATGCAGACCAGTAACAACAAATTATGACCAGTCCATATTTTGAAACAGTTTTTTAAAAAGAACAATTCTGTGTCCTGTTCTATAGAATCTCTTGCATTCTATAGAAATCAGCTTAAACAATCATGGTATTCTTCAAGGGCATCTTGCAAAGACAGTAAAATGAGCAACATTTTATAGCATTTGTAGCCTTATTGCTACAATGATGATAGAAGAACTACATGGGAAAGGTGGAAACATGGACCTTAAAGATGTCTACAAGGATAGGAATTAGTTTTTGGTAAAAAGCCTTATCAGTTCTTGAATGTTGCACATCGGCTGCCCTAAGGTCATAAATGACAAAAGATATACATTTTTTGTATTTTTTATTTTTTGAATGTACAAAGTAAATGTTTATTTCTTTCAGGTAGACTATCTAGTTTCCAATATGTTCACAATGCAATCTTATGACAGTTGTGCAATGTTTAAAGATTTTTGTTAGAGAATATATAGAAATATTTACATGTAGGAGTTAAATGATTTGGGATAGCTGTTCATGCTCAAACACTATATGCCCTTGAGCATGATAGAAAAGAAAACAAATTTGTATCAAAAATTTGCCAGTCTAAAGCAATATTAATTTACATTTTCAATTACACACATAAAAACAATTAGTTGAGATAGGCAACTCTAAAAAGTTAACTGTTCAACTTTCTATTTGTGTGTCCATACAGTCTTCCTTTACAGATCTCCTTCTCGGATGTAATCCTTTGACTGAATTCTTCTAGTTTCTTAATTAGCAATTCCATGCGTACATGAACTTGTACAAGATTCTCTTTTAATTTTTCTACATGTTCCTTTAGGCTCACAACAGGACAGGTTACTTTTGAAGCTTCTACTGTAGCGGTAGTTTGTAGCAAGTAACATGTGATGTTGTTCTTAAAAAGGCAGAAGAGGCCAGGCAGGTAAGCCAGTGACTTTGAACTATAGAGAATAAAGCCAATGTCTAGTTCACAGGACTGACAACACAATGTGTTGTAGGTGCAACCAATGAGGTCTCTTTCAACACAGACCATCAAATTGTCTTCCACAACATCTTTTGTGACCTTGAAGCAAACAAAAAGCCGGAGTTTCTCCTCCTGCGCGCACAAGTGGAGAGAGTCTCCTAATACGACCCGGCAGCGTCGGCACTGATAGACCACACCGTCCTCCAGCCTGAGTCCCCAAATGCCTGGGACTCGCTCCCCATGGCTCTCCCGCTTCGTTGCGCTTTTTTGGCCTTGGCAGCCAGGCCGCATCCAGGGTCCTGCCCGCTCTACCGTGATTGTGCCGCCCACCTGGGACTCCTCAAACAAAAGCCGCAGTTTCTTCCGTATGGACATCACGGCCTCCCGCCAAAGATTCCAAAAGATATACATTTTTTATGGCACATTTTTTACCAGGCCTTCTCTGCTCTTTTAAGTATAGCTAATAGCCAACATAACAAAGTATGTCAGGCCTTATTATATATTCATATAAAAGACATTAAATCTTATCCATGCTCAGCAATAGGGAATTAGTGTGGTGTTTCAATGTGTCTTTGAGGGAATTACTAATAAAAGCTGAATGCTTACTATTATAAACCCTCATTGATGGCTTGATTGGCTGCTATATCAATTAAGAAAACCAAGTTCCAATCTCAGTAAATCTGATCAAAATGGACTTTTAATTAAAAAATCTGTACAGGTATTCAGATATTATCATATCCTCATTTTCTCATTCTTTAAGATGCTATATTGAGATTAACTGTGCCAACTTCACGTTCATTTTGTAGTTTCAGCAAACAATTCACTGGTTTTTATTTTATTTTTTTGTTATTGTTACTCTAAAAAGACTGGTTCATCCACTGGCTTATGCATTTCCTGCTTTAAAAAAAAACCCGAAAGCCTTCAGATATGAAGAAGCATGCTTTCTCATATGATAAGGCATCATACATTCTTAAAGTGTGCTTGGTTTAAGTGCTGAGATCGATGTATGCGGGTTGTAGAGCTGAATTCCAAGATCAGAGTAATAAAAAAGGCTGAGTGTCAAAACAATACTAAACAAGGTCTCCAGATCTCTTCCGCTATTCACCACATAATTTTTTGACATGAATTCAACTATTGCTGTACTTAAAATTGGAATGGTGGGGCTGGTTATTGTCAGAGACAAATTAAAAGGAGCAACTGAAAAGATTTTTGGAAGGAGGTCAAAATAATAGTCATAGCACTTTGATTTAAGACAAAAATAGTACCTCTTGCCTTAGAAAGAAAGCAGTATCTTTTGTATACTCTAGGCCAGTGTTTTTGAACCTGGAAACTTTAAGATGTGTGAATTTTGACTCACAATTCAGAATTCCCCAGCTGAAGTTAAGTCCACACATCTTCAATTTTCCACTTTTCAGAAACACTGCTATAAACAGTGTCTCTTCAGCTAGTGCTTGACAGTTCTGACCATTAGTCCTATTTCTGCACCACAATTACAACATATTTTCAAAGTGGAAAACACTGTGTATATACTATTAGTCAAGCACAACTTACTTGTCTCATAACATCTTTTGAATAGAAGGGTGGTTATGCACTAGACCTCCCTTTTCTTTGCATTTGAAATACTTTTCACGCCTCAGTTCCAACTCATTTTCATGATGAAAATATTTTTACTCCTATTCTTTTATTTCCAATTATTTTTCATATGCTTTTTTTTCCTCCCCACCTGTACAAATGCAAATACCACATTTCTGCGCAAGTATCAGCAGTGGACCCCAAGTATATGACTAATTCAAAGTATTTGAATACAGCAATAACAATTACTATGTCAGAAGGAAAATCACCAGTTATCTGATTGTGATTCAGAGCAATTGGTAATTATCCAAATGACGTCTAGCCTCCATTTTTCTAGAGAAATCTTCAAGTACCATAGATTCCAATCCTGGATGAGTATTTTCTTCCCTAAAGCAGGAACAGGAAGCAGGAAGATCAATTAAGATTGGCTAAGAAAAGTTGTTTAGTGGTTCTGCCTATTTCTGGCTGTTCTGCTCATTGTGAAAAACATGGCAAGTAAGCAGCATATCTAAAATGATTTAATCTGCTACTTTATCTGTTCATAGAGAACATAATGTTTATATCAGGTCATGGAGAATCCTAGCTTTTCTACATCAATCTCAGTGTTCTCTGTATTACACCAAACAGAAAAAGTAAAGTACAGAGCAAATTCTACTTGCTGAAACATACAAATACCAGAAGTTGATTTTGTCCACAGGTTTTGGAAGAACTGGTTCATGTCAAGATACAGATGCATTTTATGCAGTTCCTTCAACAATGTATATATTTGTACAATTTATTTTATTTGTATTTATTTATTTTATTTTGTCAAGCAATTAAGAGATAACAGGTATAAGTATAAACATAGTTATCAATACATGAAATGGATACTTATAAGAAAAATAAAAAGAAACAATAGGACAGGGACAGTAGGCACGTTGGTGCGATTATGCACACCCTCTACAGACCTCTTAGGAAAGGGGCGAGGTCAATAGTAGACAGTCTAAGGTTAAAGTTTTTGGGGTTTGGGGAAGAAACCACATAATCAAGTAGAGTATTCCAGACATTGACCACTCTGTTTCTGAAGTCATATTTCCTGCAATTAAGTTTGGTGCGATTAACCTTAAGTTTGTATCTATTGCTTGCTCTTGTATTGTTATGGTTGAAGCTGAAGTATTCATTGACAGGTAGGACATTGCAATGTATGATTTTATATACTATACTTAGATCGGACCGAAGGTGGCATAGTTCTAGGTTTTCTAGGTCTAGAATTTCAAGTCTGGTGGCATAAGGTATTCTGCAATGAGTAGAGAAGTGGAGAACTCTTCTTGTGAAATATTTCTGGACTTTCTCAATTGTGTTAATATCAGATACATAATGTGGGTTCCAGAATGATGAGCTGCATATAAGTACTGGTCTAGCAAATGTTTTGTATGCTCTAATTAGTAGTGTGATATTACCAGAGAAAAAGCTACCCAGGATTAGGTTAACAACTCTTAACACCTTTTTGACTATGTAGTTACAGTGGGCTCTAGCACTTAGATCATTAGAGATGAGTACTCCAAGGTCCTTGACAGAGTTTGCATCATCAACAAGGTCTTGACTATTCAGCTTGTATTTTATTTTCTGATTATTTTTTTTGCCAATATGTAAGACAGAGCATTTATTTGTCGAGATTTGAAGTTGCCATTTGTTTGACCATTCTGATACATAGTCGTGGTCTTTTTGAAGGGTAGCAGTATTGTCGTGGTGTTGAATAGCTTTACATCATCTGCGAAGAGAACATAGTTGTTCTTAATATGATCACAGAGGTCATTTATGTAGAGTATGAAGAGAGTTGGTCCTGGAACACTGCCTTGGGGGACACCACTGTTGACAGGTACAGAGTTTGATAGGACGCTCCCAATTTTGACCATTTGTTGTCTGTTTGACAGGAATGCTTCTATCCAGTTATGTAGGTATCCAGAGACACCATAAGATTTTAGTTTTAGGAGTAGTTTGTCATGTACCACTGAATTTACAGAAGTCTATGTCAATTGAGTCTATTGCTTTGTCCCGATCGAGTTGTGTAGTCTCTATGTTTTTGCAGTGTAAGAGTTGCAGATTACAGGATAGTTTTTTTCTAAAACCAAATTGTTTGTTAGAGAGTAGGTTGATTGTCTCTAAGTGGAGGAATAATGGATTAGTTAATAATTGATTCCATGACTTTACAGGTGATGCAGCATAAAGAAATTGGTCTGTAATTTTCAACTAGGCTGGGGTTTCCCTTTTTGAAGATGGGGATGACTATGGCTTGTGACCATATTTTTGGCAAGGAGCTGGTCCTGAAGGATTTTTCAAAGATTATGCTTAGAGGTTCGGCTATGGCAGAGGATAGCTTTTTTAAGAAGGCTAATCAATTAACCTTTTGCAGACTGCATTCAAAAATGTTTCTACTAGTATTTTTTCTTAAGGAAAGATGCTTTCTGGTAACTGTTCTGGTTGCCTTGGCCTAATATACGTATAAATTTCAATCTAGCTGTGTGTTTATTTACTTTAGTAAAGCTAATATACTCAGAGCTCAGTTTTACAATATTAATTTCAGCTTTCCTTAGTAAACAAATAGTCATCTTTTAACTTTGTAACCTAGCGTATTTCTAAATTGACAGGTAAAAAAACCCTCTAATTATTGACCCCAAAAAAGTTCCGAACTATCCTGTGAATATTATCACAAAACTTAAAACAAAGTTTTATGTGTTAGAAGTTTTATATATAATTGAGTTGAGAGCTGCCACGAGCTATTGTATTACAGTTAATTCCATTGTTTGTTATTACAGTATCTGATTAATGCTATGGTAAATGTTTCCACTTTATTAGACAAATATCATTATTTGTTTTATAATTGAATAGCAGTTCTAAGCTGCAAACTCTTGAAAACTGGTGGCTTAACCAGTGCCTTGCTGGTTGTGTTCTATTCAAAAGCTTGCTGGTTGCTTTCCTACCTACAAACTCAAACCACATAAATATATTTATCTTTCTCCAGTTTACAAGAGCAGCTGGAGATGAATTATAAAAAAAAAAGAATACCAAAAAGGGGCAAATTGTTAAGAAGTCCCTCTTTTCATTTTTTCTCACTCATTGCTTTCTTCAAATCCATATTAAAACTTTATTTCTGATTTGAAAAAAAAAAGTAATAAGGAACAGTGCAATGTTTAATATGACCCTCATTGCCCAGAATTGAACTGAATTGTTATTTTTGAAAACAGAAGAAACTGACATGGTAATTTTTCAGTCGTCTTCTCTTTCTGCAGAAATACAATGTTAAGTTATGACTTCCTGCTCTAATGTCCATAATACATAGATTGGGTGTTCTTTGGTATGTAGCTTGATTATTCTAAAATGGCACTTTTCAGCATCAATGTGTCTAAAAGAAACTTTCTTTGGTACCAGCCAGGCTCCTGGGTAAGAAATAATCAAAATTCCACTGTCACCCAGAAACTAAAAGGATTCTTAGCAAATAGTTGTAGCATCTGAGTGCGTTACTTGAAAACATATGCACTTACCTGAGAAAGCCAAGATGAGTGTACAGAAGCATCCCAGCAGAATAAAGATGCTATAGAGAGTTTTATCTCTAGTTTGGTTTTTCATTAACTTCATTTTTGTGGCTTCAAATTTCAGCCATTTTATGGAAATATCTTGAACTTAATCCCAAAATTCTTACCATACCTCTGTGCATACCAGTTCAAAAATAACAGTGCAGAAAACTGTTGATAGCTGCAACAAGGACTGTCTCTTGCCAGTAGATTTTTTTTGACTAGTATGAACCAGCAGGATGGGCATACTCC